GTCCAGGCAGGGCCGATCCGCTGTCCGGGATACCGACCCCAAGCTTTTCCTGGGTGAAACAGGCTCACGTTCACCAATCCGTCCCGCCATCCTCTCCGAAGCAGGCCGACGGCGCGTGTCACCTAGCCTATTAAAGGCTGAGGCTTTTCCACGCGCTGAGGTCGGTCTAGCCCGAAGTGGGGAAGCAAGGTGGGAGTGGGATGACGCAAGTCCTAGGGCACCACCCCTTCATCGTTGTCTGGCTTGATGGTCAACGGTTGGGGCTGAGGAGGCGGCGTCGTGTTCTCCCCCGTCCTTGGCAATTGGCATGAGTGCGCTGAGGACGGTGGGGTTCTGGGCCAAACTGGCGAAGATGGCCGAGAGTGCGACCTGAAGCTAGTCATGGACTCGGGCCGGCTCGGGATCGGGCCAGGCCTAGCCCCGGTCGGGCCGCCGGTTTGTATCATATGGGCCCAGGACCGGCCCGAGGGTTGGACGGGTCCGGTTCGGGTCGGGCCACCCGCCCGGGTCACGGGTCGGGCCACCCACCGGGCCGGGCCGGGCCAGTTAAATTTTTTTTTTTTGTTTTTATAATTTATATTTTAGACTTTATAGTTTTATACAAGTATTAAAAACAAACTTCAAGTGCATTTATTTGAAATGAAATAGGAACTACATTTTAAAGTTAAATAGGAACTACAATTGAGAATTGAAGGTAAAATTAAAACATGAAATACTAATCAATCATTCAATCGGAATCTCCGGCATAGGTAGAGCCACCCTCGGTTGTAGATTCATCCATAAAGTGTTGGGATGGGGTGATGTCAATTTTTGAGCTCTACGGGCTGCTTTCAACCTCGTTCTGGTTTGCGTTAGGACATTGCCGGCCGAACTAAATTCTTGTTCCACGACAACCGTTGAAACCGGCATTGATAGCACTTGCATAGCCATCTTTGCTAAAACCGGGAACATTCTTTTTTTCCCTTCCACCAGTTTAGTACGTCAAAATCATCTTCTTCAAAATCAACATCATATGTTAAATACAAAGAAATCTCATTAATTGTGCTTTGTTGTGTAGCGGGAGTTGATTTCGTTTTTTTAATAAGATTGGCAAATGTAGATTTGAAAATTGATTTTCCTTTAGATGATGTTTGTGTCGGGGGAGGGGGCGCATTGCCATATTGTGCATGAAACTCATTGAATAATGCATAAAATATATCACTAACCTCGTTGTATTCTTTTTTCGGATCAATTGGGTTGTCCTCATACATTGGCAATGGACCAAAAAAAGCAGCATAATAATAATTCAAACATTCTTCTAAAGAACCAAGTCTAAAACGAGGATCGAGAACAAATGCAATACCATAAATATGCGGAATATGTGAATAATATTTTAAAAACTTTTCCTTCATGAAACCAGCAAAATAACTCACATAATCAGCATTCTCAAAATTTGAAAAAGCACCGGCGAGATTAACAGCTTCACGAATAAATTAGTTTGAGGTAGGTTTATAAACATGACTAAAAGTTTCAGTTGCATTATTAAAATATATCAAAGCATTACAAATTTTTTCACAGGTGTCGATCTCAGCCGAGTTTATAATATAGTTATCATATTGTTTCATAAAAGCAGGAAAATGTTGTTTATATCTAAGAAGAACTCCAATTAACTTATAGGTACTATTCCAACGAATAGACAAATCTTTAGGAAAAGCCACATATCTCTCACCTCTTTCTATCAAATAATCATGCCATTTTTTCCTAAGTTGTCCATTACCCCAAATACGTCTAATCCCCCCTTGACTACCTCCAACGATGCTCCCAACGCTTTTAGACCATCTTGCACACATAAATTTAGAACATGACATGCACATCGTTGATGAAAAAATCTACCCATCAAAGAAGTAGAACCACACAATTCACGCAATCTAGGAATAGCAGCAGTATTATTAGTAGCATTATCAAAACCAATAGCAAACACCTTATCAATTAAATTATACTCAATTAAAATACGCTCAATCAAAATATAAATATGTTCAGCGGTGTGACGATCATTAAATTCACGGAAAGCAAGAACACGTTTATGCATATGCCAATCATTATCAATATAATGTACAGTCAGACCCAAATAATGTAAATTATGATAAGTATCCTCCCATATGTCAGAACATACAGTAACACGTCCATCAAAGTTTGCAAAATAATTTTGTAACCTTACCTTTTCCACACCATAAAGCCTTGAAATTTCTTTCTTAACCGTTTTACGACTATAACCTCTATATTGCGGATTTAAACAAGTTTGTGCATAATCACGAAAAGCAAGACTTTCAGAAAACAAATAAGGCAAATTTTCTTCAACAAGTAAGTTAGCCATACCAGCCAAATTTTGTGCATCATTGTATGAGAAATTACCAAAAGCTTGTTGGTTATTTGCAAACCTCGATATTTGAGTTTGCTTCCCCGTTTCGCCGCCTAAATTTGCATACTCCACCGGGTGTTTGGACTTAAGGTGTCTTGTGGCGGATCCGTATCCGCCGGAAATCCCCAAGCTATAGTTTTTCTTGCACCAATTACAAGTTGCGGTCCAATTCCCGGTGTTCGGGTCCTTCCACTTAGAAAAATTATTAGCCATTAGTTCAGATTTACTTTTTTTTGTACCTGTTTGGGATGAGGTAGGCTAGTCGGCGTCATGGCTGCCGCCACCCTCCTCCTCGTCGTCGTCGTGGCTCTCCGGAACTACTTCCTCCACATCGTCGTCCTCGTCCCCGAGCTCTTCTTCGTCAATGGTCCTCGGTTGGTCTTGAAAAAAGCGGGAATTATGTCGGTGCAATTCTTGTTCTAGTTGTTCGTCGGTCATCGCATCCTCATCCCTCCTTGCGTAACCCGTATCAAAATCATCTCGACTTTGAGATGAAGAGCCGATATGTGATTTACCTTTGAGGGATCTCTTCCTCGCAAGCTCTTTCGTTCGGTTGCGCTCGAGGTTACCCATATCAACCGAATATCTAGGACGATCCATCTAAAAAATGTAGCGATTAATAAAAAAAATTAAAAAAGTAATTAACTATTAATCTAACTATTAATTCGAGTTATAGCAAATTAGTATTTTAAAGTTTACTTTAATCAAATTAACTAGTGAATTAACTAGTTTTGTGTACAACCTATTTTTTTTACTAACAATGAAATTAATACACTTTAACTTTAACTATAATTAGAATTAAACTAGTTTTTTAAACTAGAGTCAAATGTAGCAATTAATAAAAAAATTGTAAGAAGTAATTAACTATTAATCTAACTATTAATTCGAGTTATAGCAAATTAGTATTTTCAAGTTTACTTTAATTAAATTAACTAGTGAATTAACTAGTTTTGTGTACAACCTATTTTTTTACTAACAATGAAATTAATACACTTTAACTTTAACTATAATTAGAATTACAACTAATTTTTTAAACTAGAGTCAAATGTAGCAATTAATAAAAAATTGTAATAAAGTAATTAACTATTAATCTAACTATTAATTCGAGTTATAGCAAATTAGTATTTTAAAGTTTACTTTAATCAAATTAACTAGTGAATTAATTAGTTTTGTGTACAAACTATTTTTTTACTAACAATGAAATTAATACACTTTAACTTTAACTATAATTAGAATTACAACTAGTTTTTTAAATTAGAGTCAAATGTAGCAATTAATAAAAAATTGTAATAAAGTAATTAACTATTAATCTAACTATTAATTCAAGTTATAACAAACTAGTATTTTAACTTTAACTATAATTAGAATTACAACTAGTTTTTTGTACAACCTATTTTTTTTACTAGCAATCAAATTATTATAGTTTAACTTTAACTATTATGAGAATTAACTAATTTTTTTTTTCAAGTAACGTTAATACAAAATTAAACAAGTGTAAATAATAGAATAATTTCGTACCTCTTTCGGACTTTCGGTCTTTCGGATGGGAGTAATAGAATGACTTCAAATTAATTAGATATAATTCTAACTATATTAATAGATATAATAAATATATAAGTAATATATAATTAGATAACAAATATAAATAATATAATATTATAATGTATGTATTTATAAATTATAAGTAGATAATTAATATAAAGTAGATATATAAATAATAAATATAATATATTGGAGAATAAGAGAATTAGAGAGTAGAGAGTTAAGAATAGGATTTAGGAAGAATTGTTGAAGAGATGAAAAAATGTTTAAGATTAGGAGTTTTTATAATTTATAGGTTTTTTTACCTCCCTCCCCACCCCCCAAACCCCCCTGCACCCCACCCAACGACTATATAGCCGTTTGGGTTGTCCCCAGCCCACCCCCCAAGGCCATAACGGCTAGTTTGGGCAAAACAATTTTTTTTTAAAAAAAAATGGACCGTTGGACCCGGACGGCCGGACCCAGGCCGGGTCACCTTTTTCCGGAACCGTGCCCGCCCCACCCATCCCCACCGGTTCGGATCTACACCCGATCCCGGACCGCCAGACCGGTCCGGTCCCGAGCCCGCACAGTAGCGGGCCGGGCCGAGTCACGAGCCGGTGACCCGAACCGAATCCACCCCTACCTGAAGCCGAGAACAGAAGGTACCACGATCACCTTGTGGGACCCTCGTCGGCCAGATGACCTCCGTCGGCCAGAAAGAAGTCTACTCAAAATGTGATGCAGAAGCCAGGAGAACCGGGTGACCTCGTTGGCCGGGTCTTCATCGGCCATGCCCTCATCGGCCATAGATAGCCACCAGAACAGTATTTTATATTTAATCATTTCTATACACTTTGTCTCCGGCCCATTAGTGGCCCTATTATAAATGGGCCTCCCAAGCCCAAGACTTGGGAGCCCAACCCTAATTTTCTCTATAAATACTCCCCTTGGGAGTATTTGTAGGAGTTGACAAATCATTTATTGCAAAGAATTATTGCACTTCTCTCTCTAGTTCTCACTTCTCTCTAGACTTGTAATCTATCATTTTTATATTCATGTGGGCCCTGGGGTCCAGGCCCATATACTCCATCAATTTTATCTTCAGAAAAAAAGCTGTTGAGAATAGAGATTAAAGAATGTTCCACTAAAGCTAAATTAATAACATGCTTATGATTTACAAAACGAATGTAGAATCCAGCACCCAAAAAATAGGATATAAACACTTGTATGAATCAGCAGGCCGTATGAAATATGTTCTATCCTAGTAAGTGCCGCAAAATAGCAGTTCTTCAACTAAATCGCGAACCCAATTCTTCCCATCATCCTGCATAATCCCAGTTCAACAAGCACAATGAAAAGCACCTGGTTCCACCTCAATCCTCAATATCATGTACCCAAGCCAAATCTGTCAATAAAATATTCAGGAGTACCATTCATATTACAAAGTCAGAAACATAAAAAAAATCCAACTACAAAAGTTGGTAACCAAAGTACTATAGCAGCCAGGCAAAAGACACAGTCCAATATTGATTTAGTTGTGTACCCCTTCGCAGGGGCGGAGGTGGGGGGCTGATCAGGTCCCAGCTCAGCCCAAATTTGAAACAATAATTGTATTTTAAGTGTAAAAATTTATCCATAAAAAATCATTGTGCTGGCCCACCCCAACTTTTGCTCCAGGCTATGCCCCTGCCCCTTTGTATAAGTAAAAAAGAATTATGATCATTGCCAAAAATTCATTGGTAGCAACATTTTGTTGAGCAATAAACGCACAAATTTTGCATGTCTATCCTCAATGACTAATAACAAGTCAAAATACTTGAAAATTGTCCGTAATGATCATATTAATTGCACAGCCATCATAACAATCTTTCAGTGGCAGGCTAAAAATATGATAGAAATTAAGAAACCAAAACATCATATAAATTTGGAGTTGCATAACAGGATGCAGTGGCACAACTCTGGGATAGAAAGGAATTCGGCATACATCTTGAGAAAATACCATCGAAAGTAGGTGCACAAGGGAAAGAAAAACACTGTACATGGCTTCCTTTCAGTATAAAGACTAAATAGTCACATGATCTTGAGTAACAACAGATACCCAATATGAAGATGGAAATCATCAAACCTTGGAGTACAGATTCAACAGCGGCATTCGGAATGAGCAAACCAACCATCCTTTGCTTATCCGTTGTGGTCTCGATCCGTACAACACGTATACGTCTATGGCTGGGGCGAGCCTGATTTAAGAAGTTAAATTAACACATGGTGGTACTGGGAATAAACCAAAGGGTAAACACTCAATTTAGATCACAGAGCATGAAATGGTGGATTTTCTTCCAGCAAAAAGAAACCCAATTTTGATACAATCCGAACTCCTTCCAGCAAACATTGGTCCGCTCTTTAGTTTGTGGAAGGAGAACCATCAATAGCTGGAGAAGAGACCCCAAACTGGCAACATACTGTGCAATCACAGTTAAGTAGTAGCCCATGGGAATCTTGGGTGGTGGTGGGGGGTGGGGTAGAAAGATATGCTATTGCCACAAGCAGTTAATACCAGTACATATATCGCCCTTAACTTTCCAATTGCATGTTGTTGTAGTGTTGTACACCGGAAATTTGTTTGCAAATCATCACAAAATAATAATTTCAAATGTAAAATAGTAAAACCTGCTTGGAAAGAGCTTTCTCGATCGTTCCCCACACTGGAAGTACAAGGCCACCCAAAACATTCACTTCCTGCAGTCTTCTACCAACCGTACAATAATTGCCCAATTTACATTTCGGGCCATGCATGCACTGTGAATGAACAAGCATACAAAATGATGATACATAAAATTAATCAAGCTCTAGATTGTTATTAGTAATGGTTGAGATTATTATTCTAATGGATGACAACTGCTGAGCTCAGAGTTTAGTAGTAAAATTTTTCATATAAAAGAAGCCATCTGGACGATTGATGTCTTGTCTACCTTTCCTCTCTTGTTTCTTTTATCATTCATCTTCCTTATCTTTTTATATTCTTATGTTATTTTCATCTTTTTGGCATCGATATCTTTTTATATTCATGTCCGCCTTCTCTTTTTGGCATCAATATCATAGATCGATTCATGTTAGCCGACCCCAAATTCTTTTGGGATTAAGGCTTGGATGTTGTTGTTGTATCCAAATAGTTGAGGGCTGTATATGTTTTGTCATATATAGTTCAAAGGTATATCTATTCCAACTTTGAAATTTTATGTTCAATTGTTCCACAAAAAGTTATAATGATAATTTTATTATTTTATGGATGTTTATATATATACATATATATGTTCTCCTGACAATAATAATAACAACTATAATATAACACCGCCACTGCCACCACCGCCACCGCCACCGCCACCGCCACAGCCACAGCCACAGCCACAGCCACAGCCACAGCCACAGCCACAGCCACAGCCACAGTAATGGGAAGATTCCTTCCAAAGTACTTCTCCACATTCCTTCCATGATATTTCTACACATTCCTTCACCGGCCACTCACATCGACTATGCTTCATTCATGATTTTAAAGGTTGCAGGAAAGATATAAAATGTTGTGGATGCGATCAGGCAGAAAATATGAAAGCACATGATATCACCTGCTTGGATGAAACTTCGTATTCATCCTCCCAACCAGCACGAGCCTTTTCTAAATTAGATAATTTCCTGTACTTGTCTTGCAACTCAGAAAGAGGCATTTCCCTAGAAAGAAGAAACCAAGAACATAATCAATACAAAAAAATGAGGTGGTGCACTAAAAGAAAATAAAAAGAAAAGAAAAAATGGAAACAAGCCGAAAAACATAATTGAACTACTACCACGAGATATTTCAAGTGAAAAAAGAAGACCCTAAATCCTAAGAAGTAAAATTACATAATACATTACCTAAGGGCTTCTCCAACAGTAGGACGGAATAGCTTGTACATTCCCGAAAAGGAACTGAACCAAAAACAGAAACATAAGAGTAAGAATTACTGTAGGCATTATCACAATTAAAAGAGTCAGAAAAAGAATGATAAAGTCGTGGAATGTAATAAATGTTAAGCTATACAATATCTATAAGATGCACCAAAGTCTATGCAATTAAAAATGAATAAATAACATGAAATGATATTGTGGATATTACAACTTGTATTAAATAGACAATGATGGAGTTCTACCCATACCCGAGGAGCTTCAAAGAATCAAAATCATTCACAATACATGTCTTCTCCAATTTTAAAAATCACACATATAGAAATTATTGCTGCTAATGCCTCCCTGCTTTACTTTGAGAGTTGAAGGGTCTGACATATCAGAAACTGAAGAATACTGAATAGCGAAATGCCAAAAGCACTATAAGGAAATCATATCTTTTAACTACGTTTCTTAATCAGTAGTAGAAATATACTCGAGGTTTTGAATGCACACCAACTTGTGGGCTCTTACTATTCTTTAGCGAAAGGACAACGGCTCCTCCCCATTAACAGTGTTGTGTTCTGAATTCTTTGAGAGTTCAAAAAAAAAATATACACTAAAAGTATTAAGGACAGTATAATAGCAGCTCCTCCCCACCAGTGTTGGTTTGATAATAACAGTATTAAAGGAAACAACTTTTGAAGATTGCAAAAAAAAAATGCTAAAAGTATATGGCTGTATGCTAGGAGGGCTAACGAGTGTTAAAGGCATGGTACTCTGTTGTATGTGTGCTTTATAAAGTATAACTATATTGTAATGTTGTACAGGAATAATTATACTCCCTCAGTCCCAAATTGTAAGATACATTTACTATTCATTTGGTCAACATAAATCACTCTTAATCTTTTACTTTATATATCAAAAAATTATTAAATTTGAATTTTTTTTGCAGGTTTTGTAGCGGTTTTAATGTAGTTTCTGAATATGTAAATTTTATTTTCTAAATCTAATTTGAGTGTTGACAGGGATCAATTTGCTTTACTGTCGATCAAACATCGTAAACCGTAAAGTATCTTACAAATTGGGACGGAGGGGGTATTAAAAAAATAATCAAATACCGAAACTAAGATTTGAAGTCCAAACGTTGGAATGAACTAAATAAACTAAGACTTATATGAACACGTTAATGTTTGGAGAATTGACACGAGTCACATTACCAAGAAGTTATATGCTGTAATTGAGGATGCATTTGTGTAATAAAGGTAAAGATCTATGTCTCAATCAGCATTGACTTTAAAGGGAGAACCTAATGCCATACAAGTAACGAAGTATGGTATGAAGGAATCGAGGATATAGAAACTACACGACAGCGTCTTTACCAATAACCCCCTTCGTCATAAGATCCTAATGTAAACAACAACCACGAAAGAATGTTACAAAAATATAGTGTGTGGGCCACGAAAGAATGTTACAAAAATATAGTGTGTGGGTACCTTTGACGACTAAATAAAGGATGATGAAAGGTTTGGTTTTGGAATAATAGTGCATGTCTATAGTACCTTTGAGATAGACAGCTAAAATAACATAAAGTAAACAGTAACATAAGAACTTCATAGTTGAATAAATCACAGAAACTTCCAACGGCTCAAGTTTTCCAGTTTCAGAAACTCAGAAGTCAGAAGCGTGTCAGAAACTCAGAACCTTCAAAATCCAGACTCAGTGCCGTTTCCATAATTAAAAAATGGGAAAATGTTTCCCTAAATATTAACATCTCAGAAACTTTAGGTTTACTTTTTTATGGGATTCCTAGTAACATTGTGATATTTCATAACGCAATCCATTGTTAGAAATGTATTGCATGTTATATTTAATAATGTACTAATATGTAATAATTTCTAGATTTGAGCATGTAGACTACATTTATTATTGGTTATCAAACAAGGTTATATGAGAAAAATGTGCACATATAAGAATGAAAAAACATTAGTATACATATGAGGAAAAAATATTTACATATATATATATATATATCCTTAAATTTTTTAATATTTTCGCACTTTCCCCACGTTTCGTATCCTATATTTTTAGAAATCTAATTTCTCACGGTTCGTGTTTCACATTTCCATGCTACTTGTTCAGAATGAAAGGTTGCGAGAAGGTTTAGGTAAAGCTATTTGGAAGACGATGATAAGACGTGTGTCAGGTGTGTGTATTACCTGAACCAACGCTAGTGGAAACTAAGGTTGTGAAGGCGATGGATTTCTGGTACTTAAAAAGTAGTAATAATCATTTGCTGGAACTGAAAAGTTTAGCAGATCTATCAATTGCAAATTGAGACCTTTGACTCTTAAGTAGATTCCTGCATTTATGAGTTGTAACCCATCCAAGACAATTTGAACGATAAGTAATTCTCAGGGTCTCAAGCATACTTTAGCGAAAGATACTATACAGAACAGCAGCAAATGTTCGATGGCCCGAAGATAACTGAAGTGTTCTGATAATGTTCGGAAAAAGAGATTGGAATGCCGTCTACCAAATTTTCCGATCTTAGGGGAAATCCTGGACAGTAGAGTAGAACTGAGCCAGTGTGGAAATTGCAGACCTGAGCAATAATAAAACCAACTGTGCCAGAAGGTAGTGAGAGCCTAAGAGGTCCAGGAGCAGTGCTCTGAAATCGCAGCCATAATGAATGACAATGGAGGAAATATAGCAGACCGCTATATGAAATTTGTCAAGGATAGCAATTTATGTAGTTCCATATGGCTAAATTCCGGGAATCTGCCATAATTCGCCATCCACCATTAAAGACACTAGTCTAGGGACTCTGAGGACATCAACCTATCAAGATTCTCGCGATTGTTGGTGACCAAGCGCTCGCGCTTGTCAAGACCATGCTGGGAGCGATAGCATGTGTGAGCACGTGACAGAGGTGGCCGATGTCAGGCTCTGAATCTGACTGGGGAAGCCTGTGCAACTAAGAACTCAGCAAATGTTGACTTTCTTTTCTAAAAGTGAAGTTTCAGATCGCCCTTCGATAAAAGAAGATATGCTGAATAGCAACTCCTTAAGGGATAAAAAACAAAGGTGAAACTGAGAGATAAAACAAAGATGAAACTGATAACATTCAAAGTCAAAACAAAGGTGATACTGATGACAGTCAAACCAGAGGTGAAACTGAGGGTAAAAGAGATTTTATTTTTTATTTTTTGTTTCGTAAATAGAACTAGCCAAGGAGACAATAGTTCTGTGGATTCATAGTTCTCTGATGCCATGTAATAAATGAAACAGAAATAAATCTATGTGTCATAATCATCTTGAGCTCATTAGAACTATTTATAAGTATAACCAAGGGTTAGCGAGGTGTCAAGGCTAACTACTATTGGCCTAAGCCCATTAGGGAAGATTCAGACTTGGGTTATGTTTACAACAACTAACAAGTCAAATCTAGTTATCAGAATATGACATTAAAAAGAGTGAAAGAGGTTCAACTTCAATACCCTTCTAATGCCAATAAAAAATGTCGCCGTCCCAGCCATTCTCTCTTTGATTCATAGAATCCGATAGCAGTTGAACCCAATTCACCTTTCTGCTTTTCTTGAAGCAAAGCAGAAGCATACTGCACAGAAACACAACAAACAAGAAAAGAATTATAACGATTCATTTGCATATGAACCATTAAAAAGTTTTGCTGGAAGATACCTCCCAACTCAGTCCACGGTCCAGTGTAAAAGTAAACAACATGGTTGATGCCCCAGACATACTGTCAACATGAACAGTCTGAAACAACGCCATGATACACGTCAAGTTATTTAATTTCTCCAAATAGGAAAACAAGGCTAAATATGAATGTAGGATGAAAAGTGCATTGGATAATGAAACTAATAAGAGGAATTGCACAACCTTAGGAGTTCCTTGATATTCAACAGTATTAGCTTTCATATCAACAATTCCAGAATCTAAATTTCCTTCCATACGGGCATTCTGAACAATAAGATCTAGAATGCTGACAAATAACTCAAAGAGCCTATGAAAAACCGTAGTTAGAGTTTAACATAGTGTACATTGAAAATATCAAACTCCATCAATCCCAATAAAGACGCCCAAATTCCTACATTACACAATTAACAATTGCAGTTTTCAACATTAACTTATTATGAGTTAAGTTGTAGGGCTTTAAAATATGAGTAGATTGTAAAAAGCAGACTCTTTTGGGGACAGAGGAGTAAAATGCACAGTACTCTCTTACTATCTGAAATAGCAATTATATACCTGTTCTGGATGTCAGGTGGCAGCCCTAACAGCCGGTTAAGGAATCGCCCAACATCATGCATGTCTGAATCAACTATGCGGCCAGAAATCTTTCCAGGGTCCCTGCCATTACCTTCATAAAGGTTTAAATAGAACTTATTCAAAAACAAGTAGTGAATTGACCAGCAATACTTTAAAAAGTTGTTCCTAACTAAACCTAACTGTCTCCCGACTTCCCCACAAGTTAACCTGTAGAATGTTGCTGGAAATTGTGTATAATGTACAATGTGCGCCAAAAAAAGCATGTGTAATGCGTACAAAAAATGTAGGCACTATGAGTATGGTCAAACAAGACAAAGCATATACAGAAATGTGTTGCACTTTTATTCATAGACATTAAGTATGCATCAAGCTACATCTTACTTACTCCTTGAACTGTTAAAACTTTGAAAATTTAATAATAATAATGTAAAATGAAACTGAAACGCAATGCCAAATCACAAAACTTGTGTACTACCAAGCACCGAGTCTCTTATTATTCCAACTGAAACAAGAGCAGCTTTCCCTTTTATAATGAAATTGTGTATCTCCTCTTGTTTATCAGCTGAACATCCTGGGGGTACGACGGGCAAAGAATCCTGTGCACAAAGACATTATTTTACTGTCAGATGTGCATCGTGCAAAAAAAGCAAATACTAGCTCCATGAAAAAAGCATATACTAGCTCCATGATTCCTCTGTACAGCATCATCAGGGCTCTTTTCCCAAAGGCACTATCATAATTGTAAGCACTTAATGATGGTCCAGCTCTGCAACACACAACATACTCGAGTGAAACAAGTCACTAGCAATTGAGTAGACAGCTTATAACGAAAGCATACCAAATTTCTCTTTTCTTTTCTTTTAATGAAAGCATTTTTTAGAGACATCAGTTCGCTCTTTTAAGCTAACATCAACTGCATAGTATCCACATTCTTACAAACTGTGCCAAGCCAAAAGGGGGGACAATAGGAGGGGGATCAACCACAACTATAACAACATATCAAACCCACCTACGGTCGCCTTGTGTGAGTGCCCCAAGAGTCTCCAATCGCTTAGCAACAATTGATGCAAACCGTCGTTCACCACCAAGATGCGTAAAAAGCAGTCTGAGAATCATTTTTTAAGTTTATTATAAATGAAAAAACTCTTCAAAGAATATGATGGCTTTCAGAAGATATTAAAATCATGTATAAATTTTCTTCCTAAAAGAACCAAAATTAGTTAATTAACAATATCATTCACATATAGCAAAACTGTACAATTCTCTAATAGCATTAGGCTTCTATTCACACGAGTGGGGTAAATCTAGAAAACAAAAAAATCCTTGAAACAAAGTACTCCCTCCGTCCCGTTGGAATGTTCCCGGTTTGACCTACACACATATTAAAGAAATAAACTTACCAGGGGGTAAATTTTACTGTTTTGACAATGTTTCGACACTGTTTGGCATTGTTTCGACATTGTTTGACACTGTTCTGCACTGTTTGACCATGTTTTGATGTAGGATACTTTCCATTTGGGGAAATGGGAACTTTCCAACGGGGCATCCAAAAAAGGAAAGCGGGAACATTCCAACGGGACGGAGGGAGTACAAGTTAAAGGGGTGTGTGTTTTGAACAAGGTCTGATAATTTGTTGAGCCGTGGGTCTACTACATATAGAATATCTCAGGACCACGCTATTACTGAATACTAATAAGCAATAAGCAGAGGTAGGGGTATTGGAACTCCAATGCCACCCAGGTAACAAACTCTACTCTTTCTCATCTCTAATTTCACATTACGAGCCCAAATGAAGTGAGGGACAGGCAAGTGGGGGACTCAAAAATCTTCACAAATTTTGAGACAATCCCACCTCGGGTCGGCGGTCAAACATCTCAACAAACATTGAACCTTTGGTTTAAAAGGCGTGAGGCGGCATGAGGCGTTTTGGGACAATTTACCCGAGGCGCGAGGCGAAGGCACGCGCCTCACGGAACTTAACTGTATAAATTTGGTAAAACGTATTTATACTAATTCTACATGAAGGTCTCTTCTCAAAAATTGATAACATCACCAAAATACCTTAAACCATTAAACAATCTAATAAACACCTTAAGAGAAACAAAATATTGATTCAGACTGTAGCAGCAAACACATTAAACACCTAAAGCCAATCATAAAATTTAATCGTAAAACTCCAAAATGTAATTTTTAACTGCTAAAGTAAAAAATTTAAACAATCTGAATGTACAAACCATCTTTATTACTCCCTCTGTCCCATTTTACCTGTCTTACTTTCCTTTTTGGGTTGTCCCAAAATAAGTGTCACAATAACGTTTTTGGAAAAAATGTGGTTCACAACATTTCCATTTATTATACTCAAATCTCAACCACAACTTTTACCTTTTCAACCACTTTATTAAAAATTGTGCCAAAACCAAATGAGACTCATCAAATGGGACGAAGGTAGTATTATTTAAAATTTATAAACTACGTAGTATGTGATTGGGATTAGGGTTTAGGGCAGATTGATATATGGTCATATATTTACTTATAAATGATTTAAGGATTTAAACTATTTGAGAATTTAAGAAATTAAAATAAAAGGAGAAGAAAGAATAAAAGGAAACAAAAAAAGATAAAACTTACCTGCGACACTAGATAGGAGCGGAAAAAAGAGGATAGGAGATAGCAAAATCATAGCAGAGGCAAAATATTAGAGAAAACTTGACTTTGATGGAGTCAGGGAACCTCACCCCATCAATATATAAATGTCTACGGACCTTTGGAACAAGATACATGAATCGCCAAGCTCGAACTAGGTATGTGAATCGCCATTTCGCCAAAAAAAAGATGAGCGGACACCTTCTCAGAGGCGCCAGGGGTGGACACCTCTCAGATGCGCAAAAGGCGGCAAAAGGCGAGGTATGGGGCGCGCCTTTTAGAATCTACTGCGCCTGGATCTTTTGGATGCGACATGCCCATCGCCTAACTGCCCCTTGCGCCTGGGTCTTTTGGATGCGCTTTTTTAAACTAAGCATTGAACAGCTCTGATCTATTCTCGACTCGCCAAACTCACTCAGTTCGGATATCATCCTCGGCAATGATAAAACGATCAGGCTTAGGCCTAGGCTTCGGCAAGCAGATAATCATATATTGCGTCACAATCTCAATCTCGGTCATCTTCAGCACCGTAGTCTAGGCTCACAGCCCGTCGGCGAGCCTGTTCTACCTAGGCCCAAGCTGCTTCAGTGAGGCTGGGGCATGAGTCTGAAGAGCTATAGTCATAGTGGTCCTCCTATTCAACTACATTGACCATTTCCTAGCACTGCATAGCATTTTTGGAACATCTAAAGATTTTGATCATCCTTGATTCTGCACTGACGCTACCAGACGAGGCTGAGTGGACCAGACCCGCCTCGGCTAGATTACAATTTCTACACTTGGCCATTTCCTTGGCACTCCAGGTACGTACTTCAGGGCTTACATCACAGCTGTTTATGTTGACTGTTGACATCATGGCCCAATTCTCAAGGGCTGACATCATCCTGCTTCAGACTGATATGACATCATCGATGTGTTGCCCCGAAGAAATACTCTGACAACTAACAGGAATAAATCGGAATTCATTTGCTATTCTACGATCTTCCAAGTTAGCATGACGAATTGACGATCCCATCAACTCTTACCATTTTCCAATCTTCAGTAGGAACGGGAAGGCAAGCATTCCTGAGAATCGTATAATCGTACAATCCTATGAGCCAACTCGCCATTTTAACTACCATGGTCATAGCCCTTTGCTTGACTCTATTGTTTTCAGTTTGCTGAATTCCCCTAAGTTTACTTGTTTGTTTTCGCACATGGTAGGCACAAGTTTATAAGGAAAAATAATTCAACCCACACCCACCCCTCTTAGGAGTGTTTTTATCTTTCATACATGTTACGCATACTTCCATCATTTGCAATGGAGCCAAACGTTCACTATTTTTTGGCTTATGAATATGATGGAATAAAGCAAAATGGCTCACTAAACTGGTTGCGCTTCTTTGTTATGAAGCAGCAGTCAGCTAATGCAATTTGCGACGTGATTTTCACCATGGGTCATCCGGAAACTCTCTATGTGCTTTAGTACAGGGGTAGACTGCGTACATCCGACCCCCCCCTACCCACACCGTATGTGGGAGCCTTTGCGGCACTGGGGTAATGATGATGATGATGACATGTTACGCATGATAAATTTTACGAAACTAGCGAATAACATAAAAAATATACAAGAATGATTACTGATTACAATAGTTTAACCTTACCCAAAATTCAAAAATTGTACCTTGATCAAACAACCAAACATAACTGCTAATTCTACATGTACGTAGTATATTCATCTTTCAATGGACACAGCACAAAGTATTTTTGTGCATATAATAGTTGTTACTACCTGTACTCAGGCGCCGAAGCTTGATTTGATCTATGAGTCCTGCCAAACTGTTGGATTGCACGATCCGCACTCCAGGGCAACTCTAGAGTTAAGTGAACTCTTCTTTTCTATCACATGTCAAAATAGAAAAGAAATCACTACAGTTTGCGTATTGAGAACAGTATGAAGCACACCGAAGACATATGTAACTACATATTAGTACACTACCAAGGGTATGACCATTTTATTTGCCTTTCCAAATGGAACCCAAAAAGTAGTGGGCATGGGTTTCACTACTTTTTGGAAATTTTTGTTCCCAAATAGAATAATGACAGGTCAAAATGACCTGCTAACCTAGCCGGAAAGGCAAGATGTTTCATCCCTTCTTTGTTTGGAAATTCTGGAAGTAGAGGGAGCAGTACGAAGTGAAAACAAAGTTAACAGGCCCTAAGAGGATAAATTACCTGATTTACCACCCTTCTATCAGCTTGCAAAGAAACACCAGCTGACCCCGCTTCAGAAATAATGGCTATCAACTTTTTTCCATCCATAAATAGCTGCTTCTCATGCATATTGACCATTTCCATTGTTACATCTTTCCTATAGTAACATGAAATGTTAACAATTATGTACAAGTTAAATGACCCTTTTCCTGAAAAATCAAAACAACAAACTTACGAATTCCGTGCCTGATAGGATACACCTTTACCACAAGAGTTCCGGACAAGCATGCCTCGCCTCCCTGTAATTTCAGCAACTTCTTCAGGGCCTCCTAGCTGCATAATGTATTACATACTCGATTGCTAAAAGGAAAGTGAAGTATTTACATAAGGTGCAGACTGCAGAATATGGTTCCTTTAAAAAAATATGCATGCTTAGAAGAGAGATAAGAAAACCTTGTCAATAATATCATCCAAAGGATTGTTAGGGAGGTCCAGTGAACGAACTATATCCAAAACTTTTAATTTTCGGTCAACAGCTCCGTCATACCTTAAGTCATAATCGAAGTGTTATAGAAATGAAACTTCAGATTTATTGAACTTTGAACATTTCTGTGAGTACAATGTACCTTTTAGAAAGTTCAGCAACATATGCACGCCTAGCTTGTATATATTCATCTGTTTTTTCTTTGCATGATGGGCAGGACCAATCCCCAGACACTGAACCTATAACAGGTGGAACTACACATACGGTATGAACTAGTTGACCACAACATGAGCACTGCAACAACTTTTTTCTTTCCTACAAGAGACAAACAGGAAGAAAAACTACTTGAAAAAAAAACTGAATAATGCAGACACCGGATGTATATATACGGATATACCTCTTCTAAATTGCAAATGGCACAAATCTGAAACTCATCATCATCATCATCATCAGACTCAGATGATTCACATTCAGAATCAACTGCATATGTTAAAATTAACTAATCAGTAATAGAATATAACCAAGCAGTAAGCACCAGAAATTGAAAGTAACAACAAACAAGCAAACATGGGTAATACTGTAGGAACATGGTCTCTACAAACAGTCCAACAGCAATTCAACTAAGGTCAGTTTCAAAAGGCAGCTGAAGAAAAAGACAGCAGCATCGTTTGATACAGAAGACCCATAGAAGATGAATAAAACATTCATGAATGAATAATGATGTACTGGAAAGAAAATCCCCATTTATAACATATGCAAATGCAAATGAATAATCAAATGAAATATATTAGCCAAGAGGCAAATGTGTAGTATCCAAGAATTACTTGATTTACTTTCTGGCTCCTCGTCAGTTTTGTCATCTCTTGTAGTCTTCCATTTAGTAACTTTCCTCACTCGGCCTCTAAATGATACATCAGGTGTTGCCAAGTGTCTCTTTCGTTGAAGCTCTTTCACGCTTTCCTCTAGCATTGAAATCATAAAGTGATACTGGCAGTATAATAGATGATTACATAACATAGGAAGAAATGCATGCATACCTGGAGGTTCTTCAGGCTTTTCAGGCAAAGGATAATTCTCTTCAACAAATTTTAGTAAAAGCTCACGAGGTCCAGATATAAAATCTTCAAGTTCAAGACCCTAACGAAGACAAATAATATAAGACCAGATAGCATATATTTTCATGCAGAAACTAGCAATGCAGACCCCATATTCTTACATATTTTGATACGGCTTCCTCAGTCCGTGCTTCTCCAGTGCTTTGCAGGCCTATCACCACACATTTATTTTCTGTCAAAGCTTGCTTAGCAAGTCTAACTACCGCAGGCACCTTAGCTGACATGCAGATGTGTCTAAAGAAACGCTATAGTTGAGCAAAGCAAGAACGGAGTCAAGTTAAAACGAAATAGCTTAATAGCCATTAGAATGGAACAATAATGTTTGAAATAAGGTTAATAAGCTATGAACAATAATGTTTGAAATAAGGTTAATAAGCTATGAACAATAAGCAACCTGATGACTCGCCCAGTAGAGTCTCCATAGCTGGCCAGAGTTGGGTTTCGTGTCAATGATGAATGTACTTGCTGAAAGTAATTCTACTCTTAATTCAGCCCAGAACTCTGCTGCTTTTTTATAGATGTCCTGACAATTTTGCAACATTAAATGGGAAGACAGGTACATAGGGGCTTGGATATCATAAAATAAACTCCAATACCATCTGGTTATGAGACTGGGCAAAGAAATAGAAAAGTGTGCACACTATAGAAGGCGTCATATGGGCTAAAAAACTCGAACATGGTTTGACAGGTATTATAAAGTGCTTAAACGGGATGGTCATCGAAGTCTTAAGCAGATCAGACACCTCACAGATGGGAGAATCGGTGCTAATTCCCTGCAGTGATTGGTGATGATGTAGATCTTACTGGAAATCCCACAGAAAAAAATGAGAAATCTTAAGATATTACCATCCAAGGAATTGGTGATCAAAGACTTGGGAAATCCAAAATATTTCCTACGAATGAGGTGGCTAGGTCTAGTAAAAAGGAACTCCTGCCTCACAATGTAAGTATCTTTTGCGCAAACCAATTCACCATGACATGACCATGGTTTTAAAAGTGGATGAGCCTTACGCCTCTCAGGCGCCAAGGCATGAAGAAAGAACCTCCAAGTCTTAGGCCTTAGTTGACTTAAATGAAGCTTGCAACTTATGGTGTCCCAGACGCAAGGCATGACGTCTAAAAGTACTGAAGCCTCGATTCCACAGAGGGAAATATTGAGTCATGCCCTCTCTTTTTTTCCTTTCTAAACACAGTTACGATTCTTTGTGTCACAGGAATAAATTAAAAAAGGATCACAAAAGGGGCGGTGAAATTTTAGGGACTTTTCCTTCTCCTTGATATCTTCTTAATAGTTTCTTGGATATCTTATTAGCATAACATAGCTCCCTTTTAAATAAGGATTACATGCATGAAAATGCCTTAAAAAGGAATGGAAAATCCTAGCAAATCACTTCTTAAAATAGATTATCTAATGAAGGTAATAAAATCACATTAGAATAAAATCAATCAGCAATTATTTCTCAATCACCTAACAGAAAATGCAGTAAATAGGAGTAAAAGCAATGTTATATTCCAAAAAAGTAAGACGTTTCCCCTAAATAGGAGTAATTAATGTCATGCTTGGAAAAAAACATAATACTCCTATTTTAGAATTTCACGTTGTTTTTACTCCTATTTTTGGAATAGCACGCATCATTACATCCCTCCTCGAAAATCAAGCTTGAAATCTTGAGCTTGACATAGAAAGACTGCACCAATAAAAAGTGCCAGTGATCTTTGCAATCGTGAAGGAGGCTGACACTTTGTTGTATAGGTGACCTAACACAAAGGTGAGCAAAACCCCTCTGTTTCTCCTGTGAGATACAATTGGAAACTATGAGGGTTTTAGTGGAACAAAATGGATCTGACAAGTCCAAATAGGTTGTTTTGAGAAAAAAAATTAGTGGAGCAATCTGCATTGTCAGTGTCGCAGATGTCTGCTAGGAGTTTTAATGGTTGAGGAACAAAATTCTTCCTCATAAAAACTGGCAGAGGAACAAAATCGTCCTGCATCAGTCTGTTCTTGTTAGACATTAGACATTTAGACTCCAGTCAAAACTCTATTGCCTCCCGTGCCTCTCAATCAATGTCTGCCCCAAGTCCTAGAATTTTCAGGCTGCACCGTGCATCACCCGCATAACCAGGTGCTGCGTTCGCCGCCACCGACCCAGAAGCCACAATCCAACACCCAAAATCAATGTGCATGAGCACCGCGCGCCGCCACAGCTCGATGACACCAACTCACATCTATTCACAGGGCCGGAATACTCTATCTTGTAATGTATATTTATAGGGACTTAGTGACTTACACACTTCAATAAAAACAGAAAATTCTTCCCTTTTCAATATAATTCTATCTTATAGCGCCTCTATTTCAACACTACGGTAGAAAATTACCTTGTGTGGGAAGATTGATTGATAAATTGGGTATATATATTCTGGTCATTGTGTTCATTATTTATTTGGGAAATAAATAAAAAGATCTGCCAAAAACCATTTATCTACTGTAAAGCAACCATAGAAAAGTGCAATCAGAAACACAATTCCAAAATGTGGAGACTTGTTTCTTGAATACTTTAATTACATAAGATGTAAAAAAAAAATTGTATAAACATAGTTCTAACATCCTACCAGGTAACCAAACATTATGTCCGTATGAGTAGAAAACTGCATCTTACCATCATCTTGGGCTCCAGGGGTACTTCAACCACTTCAAACTCCACGCCTTTGTAGCTTAGCGTACGACATACATACATGCCCCTATAGAATTGAAAGGAATAAATGTCAAATGGCATTATTTTTAATTGACTGAATAAGTACACTCATTTTCCCAACACGATAACTAATCCAAACCTTGCTTTCATGTCCATGGCCACAAGTTCAAGTGCCCCAACACCACCTTTCTCCATAGCACCTGTCATCGCAAAAAATGCAAGGTTGTTACAACACCACTCCCACCACCTTAATCACAAGTTCCTAACTATGTCAAAGACAGCAAGATATATGTAGTATCAACTAATTGTCTAAAACTAGTTAACAATAAAAATCCATGCAAACAAATGTAAATCAACATCGCAATTTTGTGGCAAATTTCCTTCCTGTGAAGGAACAAACCAAACAAAACATATTCAATATAACCCACTCAGAAGTAGGGATTCCATCCCCGAATGGATAAAGCTTCTCTTAGTCAGTTTCCCCTAAATTATAACAACAGTATTTGTGCTTCTCTAAAAAAAATTCCACTGTTCTTCTCTATTTAAATGCTAGCTCTCATCCACAAGGTCACGGTCAAAACCAGAGTATTAAATATTCCAGCAGCAGTGGCAGCCCTAGGGGGAAGGGGAGAGGGGTGACTGCCCTAGGCCCAACAGGTCAATACATAACTGTAGGTATTCAGTTTTTGTGTCATTGCGTGTGATTTATCTATTTTTTTATGTTTGATGTGTGCATTTTTATTGAATTGTTACAATGTTACTATTATGCAAATTTACATTTATATTTATTAAAGGAAAAATGTCAGGTCGGCCCTCAAAGTATATTTAAGTTCACACTTGGACTTTTGAGTCAAACTTTGTTAACTTTGACCGTTAATTATTCAAAAACCGTATTATTTTATAATACCAAAATAATTTGAATACTTCATTTTAATATATATTATTGAAATGTTAGTTTATTATAGGTTTTATAAATGTATATTTTTATATATCCATGGTCAAACGTTGATGTTGGAGACCGTGAAAGTCCAACTGTGAACTTAAATAAGGGAAGCAGGTAGTATAAGTATATTGCAAGTCTATCCATGTATAACTCTATTTCTTCGTATTTCATATTTTCATTACATGTACACTTCATATAATCTAATCATTTAATAGATTCATAAGCTATATATAATTTCTGCCTTGTGCTTTCATAGGAAATGGAGGGTGAAATTTCAGCCACGAGTCATGAAGCTGCCAAATCAGCAAAAAAAGATCCGGCTCGGAAACACAATTAGTTGGTTGATAAAAATGATGCAAATTCAGACTTTATTTTGGTGAATCGTGACTTCGTAATTATACGGCTTTTTAATGCATTCGGTTCAATATGATGTTATATACATCTTGTTTGATAATTTGTAGAACAGTATATCAGTATATGTATTATTTTCTCAGCATTGTGCCTAGTCAGCTGAGCGCTTTTTTTGCGTCGTGCGCCTCAGGCGCTAGAGTGCCCTAGCGCTTTGAGTGCGCCTCACGACTTGAGTACTTGACTACCTTGCAACTAATAGTCTCACTAGAAAGTACTATATCCGTCCCTCTTACATTGGTAAGAGAGGAGGTAGTGCGGTTACCAAGAAAAGTGACTTTACGCGGTTGATATTTAATTGATAAAGTGGGAATAAAGTAAGAATGATTTAGAACATGAAAGATAAGACAACCTTAGCCGGACGAAGGGAGTAATTCTTTTCTTTATTATGATTTTATACATAATAAGGGAGAACATGAAAATTCCACTCCCTAAGCCTTAAAAGACACAGGACCGGCCCTGTCCAACAGTTACCATTTAATTTGAGTATGACACTATTCTTTTCAAAGTGTAACTCATGTCCTCACCCCCAACACCAATGACACTAAAAAGCATATCACTTTTTTATATCTGCATGAAACACCTATCACGATATACAAACATTGAGAAAAATGAAGATATCTAAGTGTTAGGGAGATGAAGATATCAAAGTATCAAAGATGTAGAACTTCTCCGCTCTAGGACAAAGAAGGTGGCGTCCGACCTTTTCAAGGCTCCACGGATTAACTTTAAAAAAATTTATCATAGTATTAATGAATAGAGTCCTCTATTTATATTAGTTCCAAGAGTCTTGTTGGACTAGCACTATTACAATACTGCTATTAGGAATATTAACTAAAATAGACTTCTTATACAGTTATACTAATATCAAACTACTGCTATTCATAAGAGTAGGAAACTAATACTAATACTTGTAAGGGAGAAACTACTGCTATTAATAAGAATAGGAAACTAATACTCATACTAATAATACTTATAAGAGAACCTAATAATAATTATGATGATGACGATGATGGTAGTAGTTGTAGAAGCAGTAGTAGTACACTACTATACTTGGGAAACTGGATGGGTGGGTGGGTGGGTGGACAATTACAGCAACAACAACATCCAAGCCTTAGTCCCAAAAGATGTTGGGGTCGGCTAACATGAATCGATACATGATATCAGAGCCAAAAGGAAAAGAAAGATAAAAATATAAGGTATGGTAAAAAAGATAACAAAAAAATAAGATAAAATAGAGATAAGATATACATAAAACTGATAAGATAAAAAAAAGATAAAAGAATATATATAAAAATAAAAGGATCATTTTTCATTTTCATTTACCCCAGTGCCGCAAAGGCTCCCACCTACGGTGGGGTAAGGGGGGTCGGATGTACGCGATCTTACCACTGTACTAAAGAACTAAGAGACTGTTTACGGATAACCCATAGTGAAAATCGCGTCCAAAATTGCATGGACTGACTGCTGCTCCATAACAAAGAAGCGCAGACAGTTTAGTGAGCCATTTTGCTTTATTCCACGAATATAGCAATCCGCCTCACGAATACCCTCCCTCCAATTTGTTCTATCCAAAGCCATGCTCTCATCCAATCCAAGAAGAAGCATATCACACCTGACTCCTCTAATCCGGAAGGATGGACAAATAAGTAATTAAATAAAGAGTACCACCATTCAATGAGAAAGATCCTATAGCTTATTTCATGACACGAGATCAAGTAAAAAAATCTACGGGGAGATAGGTTTAGACACTTTACAATTCACATCAGCAAAGCGTAAGTTCAGGAAGCTAATAACCTGACCTAAGAAGTCGCGGAAGTTCTCAAAAGCTGTTCCAGCTCCCCAAAGACCAAGGCGGACCATATAGCCCATATTGCGAGGTTCTGATGCACCAGTAGCTGAGCAATATATAACACGAGCCTGAGGAAGCCGAGCCTGTCATTGGAAATCCAAACATAAGTATCTACATTATGAAACCAAATATTCTCCAAAAGCATATACAATATGACATTGATCAGTCTGTATGGAGGTGCATGTATGGAGCTTTAATGCTAATTAACTTTTTCGTAATAAAGGAACAGTCGTATATACTAATGCACCCAATACAATGTATCGAGAATGTAGCCCAAAAAATATATAAAACACCAGTCAATTCCAGGTCTTAAGAACAAACCTGAATTTCAAGAACAGCTTCACCGGTTCGAGTTGGCTGAGCTCCAGCTTCAGGGACCAAATTCTTGGCTTTATGACACTAAAATTAAGTATCCATATTCCACACTTTAACCATTAGGCTAATAAAATGGTGGAAGAGTTTGAGCTCACTAGAATATTAGTTTTACAGAAGAAGGAACAAGACACCTACAAAATACACTAAAAACTTGCATACAAGATCATAATCATCATCATCATTACCCCAGTGCCGCAAAGGCTCCCACCTACGGTGGGGTAAGGGGGTCGGATGTACGCAGTCTTACCCATGTACTAAAGCACAGAGAGACTATTTCCGAATGACCCATAGTGAAAATCGCGTCGAAAAATACATGGACTGACTGCTGCTTCACAATAAAGAAGCGCAGACAGTTTAGTGGGCCATTTTGCTTTATTCCATCATATTCTCAAGCCAAAAAATAGTGAATCTTTGGCTCCATTGCAAATGATGAAAACTATCGGTACTTGCATACCAGATACCAGATGAAATTATCATGGCTAAACGTACCTCATCAAATATGACAAGACCATCATATTCAATCCCGCACCACTGTACCAGTTGTTGTAAACGAGAACGCCCTTTCTCAGAGGATGCTATAAGGCTGCTGTAAGTCAAGAAAATAACTCCCTCCCTGACCCCTACAGACTTTGAATCAAGCTTAGAGTATGGTAGTTTGTTCAACGCATGCACTGCAAAGTATAAACACAACCAATCAACACGAAAGAGTTAAAACTTAAAAATAAACATAAATCTTATAAATGTCAAAATCAGGAGACCCTTAATACACAGAGCAAAGAAAAAAGACAAACAGAAACAAGCATCTCTTCGTGTGAGCGCCAAGTCCAGTTACAACTTTTCTGAGAGATCATGCAATCCAAATGAGGCTGCCTTAAGTAGGGATGCAGAGTTCTTTTTCTGACGTGTTTGCTGCCTCTGTGGACTTCAACTGATGTGCAATAGATTATGAAATCTCAACTCTTATTACTAATGAAACTCTTCAATTTAGAAGTTTTCCTAGTAATAACTATCAGCGAAATCCCGAATTAATGCTAATAAAACTCTTTTGTTTCCTTTCTCCTCTTAACAACAACCAGCAATTTAAGTGATTAGCATATTGCATTTTTTAACACCTAGCTTTTGAGAAATGCTTACGTCCTATACTCTCAACATGGGAGAGAACAAGCAACAAAGTATTGATCACAATATAAACCGCGGACGAAAGTAGTTCATCAGACAAATTTTCCGTATGTAGGTCCTTATGATTGCAGCATTACCAGTTGATCTATTTGTGTGACCAACTTATCAAATTGAATAGAGACATCAATCATAAAATAAAGAAACGTGGATATCTCAAATAGAGATGCCATATTCATATTTTCCTATTAAAGACGTGTCCACGCCACTGTGGATTTCAAATGGCTGCAGAGAAATTGTGAAACCTCAAACTTTACTAATAAAACATTTCCCACTAAGAGTAAGTTCACAACTATCAGTGCTTGTACTTTCTCAGAAAATAGATAACACCAACAATAGAAAATTATTACCTTCAACACACATCGCACCCACATCATCCAAATCTCTTCTTGCATCGAATTTCAAATCAGAACCAATAGAAATCCATCTAGGAGAATGAAGGAGAAGCACACAAGTTTTTCGAAACATGAGTTTGTCATAAACTATACTGACATGAACCCCACCAATTGAAAGCATTAATAAATGAAGACTGATTTACCTTATTAGCAAGTATAAATGGGAAAAAATAGCTTGTAATCATCAAAATTGAGGTTGATCTACAATGATCGAACTATAACAATTTACAAGTATTTGAAAGATTGAAGGATTATTATTCATAATAAGACTAAAACATAAGTATTTTACCAGATATGACTACTATGTTTTTATTCCTAAAACGCTATTTATTTTGTCATAGATGACGAAAATCATTAGTTGAATAAAGAAGATCATTAAATAAAAAGATCATGAAAAATCAAACAGTATGTTGCTAATCATATTTAGGGAAGCATGGTATATTGTAGTCATATATAGGTAAATTTCCAATATTAATAACCATTTCTTCTAATTGATGCAGTGAGCCATAAAATTAATTTATTTTCAAATGGGCAGTAGGTACTATTTTCAACCTGACATTTGTAAGAATCCTATAAAGCACTTGTCTTTCAAATTTCCATAAGTTGTGGAAGTACATAATCAACACACCAATTGATTAACTTACAAAGCCCTCCTTCTTTCATGGTGCCAATTCTCCCATATCAAACCGGCAATTGTTCTTCCTTTTCCCACACCAGCTCCATCACCAACAAAAAAACCAGCCCTGGTGCCATCTGGGAGGTGCTGATGGTGTCTCTGTCATAGGTTGTAACAAATAACAAAAGTTATATCAAAATATATTATTAGTGAAGAAACCAGGTATAAATGTAGAGAGCTTTTGGCAGAAGCAACCTGGGAAGCATACACCAATGTCTCAATCTGCAAGCAAGATAATGCAGTTGAGTTTTCCAAATCAACTTTGATCTTGAGATCATAGGTAGGTTCAGGTGGCTGTACTGCAGACAAGGAGGATGTCTCCACAACATGATCGGGATGAGGAGGTCCAATAGATAACTTGGGAGGTCGCTGGATAAAAACAAAGAATATAAAGAAATGAAACCGGCTTCTGATGTTGCTTCTATTTTGCGATGAAAGGCTCATATATAAAATTAATAGTGGTAAAAATTCTTGCAGAAGTGAATCCTTACGTAGTCCGTAAATGTTTCACCAACCAAGCCCCCTTCATCTTCTTCCCGTTCCACCTCAATGGCAACCTGAATGATTTTATTGCGCAAATAGGGTAGTTAAATAAGGAACTTCATCTGAACAAAGTTCAAGTAATGTGTTGAAAAGCTGCAATAATTGATCATCAGCTACTAAATGACAATCAAAGCAATATAAAATCAACCACAGAACCCTTTTTCTCATTCATACCCTTTCAATTATCAACTACCTAATCTTTATATTATATAAAACAATTGGTTGGCCAATTGATTTTGCAATTTTCCCTCCTAAAGCAATTGCGGTGCTCAATTGATTTTGCAATTTTGCAATTGAGTTGTTTCGTCCATCCAGACACACAATTAATCTTTATATTATACTCCCCCCGTTCTTAAATAAGTGCAACAGTCAACATTTCACACTTGCCGAGACACAACTTTGACCATTAATATATATAATTCTCTATTAGTAAAAAATTTAAAAAAAAATTAGTTTTTAAAAATTTACAATGAGACAAATTTAAGAATATATTTTTCAAAAAAATATATTAATACATCAATAAATAAAATGTAGTCAAAGTAGAACATGTGAATAGTGTAAAATTTCACATGTTGCACTTATTTAAGAACGGAGGTAGTATAAAGCAATTGGGTGGCCAATTGATTTTGCAATTTTCCCTCCTAAAGCAATTGCGGTGCTCTATTTATCTTCATAACATGATCATTGATCGATTTAATAACACTTCAAGTATGAAATAAGTTTGTAACAAAATAATCAATCAATCTCCTTTTATTTCATTAATGTATATTGAGTATTCCCGTGCAACGCACGGGTTCATCGTCTAGTTGAACTTAACAATACAGAAGTTCCCATGATTATTTTCTTTTTCTCTTGGTGAGTTGGTGCACCGATGAATGAAAAGTGCATGCCCACTTTCATCTTCAACTATAAGCACACCGGACGGTATGATTTGTCAGACTTTTAACCTATTCTCCAAGTCATCCAGCTCATGTCAACTTAAAGCATCATAGAGGCAAACTGTCTACATATCCTTCTTATCATCATTATTCAAGCACCTTAATCCCAATTAGTTGGGATTGGCAGTTTGGCACAGCATCAGATTTGTAGTGTAAGTTACTTCTATAAAACTAACACACTATAAATTTGATAGGAATGGGCCTATTATTGTAGATAATAATAAGTGGGCTTGTAATAGAAATAGAAGTACTATAAATAGTAAGGAAGGGGGGAAAGGATAGGCAGGCAAGTATTTGGGACTTGGATAGGCTAGGAGACTGGGCATCTCGAATTGTCCGTTACTCCGTTGTATTCATTCCGTAAACACATCGTTCGTCAATAAACATTTTCTTCATCTCTTCTTGATCAATTTCTTAGAGATTCTTTACAATTCTGAGTCAGAATTATCGGGTTCTATCATTGGTATCAGAGCATTACGCTACTGATGACTGTAGCATTGATCGGAGGAGTTACATTGATTCCAGAAATTTCTCTTTTCGAATCGTGAATGGTTAGAACGAGAGGAAGAATGGAAAAGCGAATGGAATCGCTAGAGCGAAATCAACAGGAGATGAAGTCAAAGCTGGATAATATCGCCAGACGGCTAGCAGCGATGAACGAACAACTCCAGACTAGAAGGCAATCGCGGACGTCAACAACTTCTTGCAGTTCGCAATCTTCGTCGATAGCAGTTTCCAAAAGTTCATCATCGCGATCCGTTTCTCACAGTCGTCCGCAGAGGTCTTCTCAATCCTCGTCGTCTCACAGTTCGCAGATGCGAACAAAGTCTTCCAGATTGTCGCTAACTGAGCAGTTTTCTTCTCAATCGCCAGAAACTTCTTCCAGTTCTCTATCGAAACTTGTTCCTCATAGATCGTCATCGCGAGAGGTTATTTCCGGTTCGCATCTCAGTCCGAAGACGTTTCCATCTGCTATCCACTCGCGTCAGAAAGCGACGCTACCAAGAGAATTTTATTCTTCGCAAATCTTGTCGCCAGGCAGTTATCTCCCTGCGCAAGTTTTGTCCCAAGAGGTTTATCCCCCTGCGAAAATTTCTTCTTCTTCGAGAGCCATTTACATTACTGATCCTGGAATTAGATTGTTGGAGACTACACATTCGATAACGAATATCGAGTTGAAGTCAATTGAAGCTGTAATCAAGGAACCAAATCCAGATGATGATCCAAATCATCATGAAGGTACGAAAACCCCTGAGGTGGATGAAAATGGAATTCATGCGGGTAAAGTGAAGGATCAGCTGTCAAGGAAACTGGAGGAGCAGGGAAAAGTCACAGATAAAACTCAGGGAAGGAGGATTCAAGCACTGGCGTGGAAATCAGATCAGGCTGTGATGACTACGGGGCCTGATGTTTTTGTCTTTCCAACCGGGCTCTATCCTTTAATGTATCAATCACAATCCTTCCTAGCCGGAACAGGAATTGGTACATTCAAACTTACAACTGTTTCTCTGAAGTCGGGGCAAGCTGCTCCTGGAGTTCCTAATGGTAAATGTTCTAAAGAGTTGATTACCAGTACCACATTCTCTGCTATCTATGGCATTCATTACACGTTTATGGAAATGAAGGATGATGATATTCAACCCACGGGACGACCACCAGATAAGCCGGAAGGCGCAGTAAATGTTGAGGCTGATGCCAGCTCACTTTCAAAGCCTGCTTTGCTCGAAGAGACAGTTGTTGAAGCTGCACAGGGCCTAAACGAGGTATTGATGAAGGCTGTAGCCAAAATAGTGACATGTGTATTAGTTGGTGGCAGTTTGTTAGTTGTTGATCTGATGACTGCAGATCTTGAAACCTCAGATAGAACTGTATTATCAACTGATATTGATTCAGCCAGTATGATTCCAAGTCTATTACGCAGGGATGGTGAGAGGGGAAGATTGTGTGGGGTCGCAAAAGCCATTGATCTTATTGGACAGGTTTCCTTTGTAGATAAAAACAATGCATCTACTGAGCTTGATATTATGCATAAACTGGCCATAAATTTCTGGAGAGTTACTGGAATTAGTGAAAGTTGTTTGAGAGGCAAATGGCAGGTTCCTACGGAAGCAAGGCATGCAGCTCTGGCATCATCTACAACATTATTTGGTTCTGCTGGTGATGATTCAACCTGTAAGGACCTGGGTATTGGTCATGATTCACTCTTACCATCTTTAGGACAGTTGAATGAGCCTGAAAAGCTTTCTATGATGAGAAACACTACATGGATTTTGTTTAACTTCTGTCAAGACCAGCCACCAACAACCGTTGACCTGGTCAGAGCTGCTTTACCAGTTCGTCAGCAACTAATCCATATGAAAGAGGAAGTGATGATGAATGTTCAAGAAGTGGAGCTCCTAGCTCAGAAATCCAGGAAATATTGGGAAGGCAGAGGTGCCAAGATGAAGTTGAATAGCATGCCTGTTTATTACTCCCCACCTTGAGGACAAGGTGGTTGTTTAGGGGGGGAGTATTGATAGGAATGGGCCTATTATTGTAGATAATAATAAGTGGGCTTGTAATAGAAATAGAAGTACTATAAATAGTAAGGAAGGGGGGAAAGGATAGGCAGGCAAGTATTTGGGACTTGGATAGGCTAGGAGACTGGGCATCTCGAATTGTCCGTTACTCCGTTGTATTCATTCCGTAAACACATCGTTCATCAATAAACATTTTCTTCATCTCTTCTTGATCAATTTCTTAGAGATTCTTTACAATTCTGAGTCAGAATTATCGGGTTCTATCAAAATTTAAGCTGAAAAGCATCTGGCAATGTTTCACGTCGGAATAATGAGATGAAGAATTTAAAACCGCATCATCCTAGATTATTTCCACGTGCATGAAAAATATCAGGACGTGGATGAATTCAGGTACTTGATATCGTCATGTACATTATATGGTTATGTACATCTTTCTTTAATTTTGAAAAGTAATCATTTTGGTGATGTCGTGATATAAGGAGTAACATTTTATGTAAAGTTTATCTTTGGTAGATAGAAAGTTACTATGTGTTTGTATGTGGACTATTAAACAGTACTCCCTCCGTCCCGATAAGGTTGTCTCGTCTTTTCTTTTTGGTTCGTCACACTAAGATTGTCTCATACCAATTTGGTAATGTTCGTGTGGTTCTAAATCATTTTTATTTTACTCACACTTTATCAATTCAATATCAACCACATTAACACACTTCTCTTGGTAACCGCACCACCTCTTCATGTACCAATGTTAGAGGGGCGGAGGTAGTAGTTAAAAATTCCATAGACTTCACTTAAGCAGAGCTTATAAATAAAGTTCATGTGAATCCACATATAAGAGTCTGTGTGACATTTAAAATAGAGACACAATTAATATAGTTTATGACTTTTCCCTTAAGAGATCCTATTTAGTTAAGTATTAAACTTTCAAACATTCTAGCATTAACACATATACAAATATTACATAAATTAACAATATTGTACAAATACAACATAAGACTTAATTCCAACTCCAAAATTACATACTTCCCCGTCATAAAATGATTCGCATCTTTATTTCTCTTTGGTAAAAAAATCATTTTATTATTTGGTTTTTGCAATTCAACAGAACTTTGACTCTAGTTTCTAAATACAAATTAAGTTTCTAACACTAACTTGAAATTAGCATGGAAGAATTGATAATATCCTTTGTCAACCTCATAAAATTACAAACACAAATTTGGCTTACAAGCACCGAACTAAAAAATGTAATTGAAGAATTTGATTCTTCAATCTAAATAATTCATGTAGCTAAACAAGCCAAAAGTTATTTAAAAAATAATATGTACGAGTATTGAGACTTTCCAACTATTTTTTTATAATTCGGTTGTGTTTGCTTTAATTGGTATAACCTAAGCGTTTGATCTACTAATGCCTATTTTTAGAGCACTTATATTATAAAAAATTCTATTATAAATATAAACGCTAAGTTAGTTTTTCCATTGGTACTTAAGTTGTGGTGATTTGAAATATCATATACTCATACTATGTTAATGAAAATAAATTTATATCAGGATTTTTAAGAAAAAGAAGTACACCTAGTACTTTCATAGTTTCATAATGAAAAAAATGCTCCCCTGGCCTAACCATATCCAGCACTCTGGGGTGGGGCTAATACAAAAATCTAATTGCTTCTGATATGTAGTTTTGTATCATAGATGAACAAAAATGCAGCTTTGCCTTATTCTTCCTTCTTTCTAAAGGTGGGGGGATTGGAGAATCGAGTTCAATGCACCAACCTCATTGACTTCTTCTGGAGGAGGTGGAAGGAGGTGACCAGGAATGGTCGGAGACTGGAAAAACTGCTTTATTTTGGACAGATCAACGGCAAGGTCGACCCCACACTGGGGACAAGAGAAGCGAGTGAGGCCATGGGGGACGTTAAGAATGGCCTTACAGTGAGCACATGGCAACTGGATCTTGGTAGGGTCGATGCCATGAGCCAGACCGCCGCCACGCGGTTGCTGAGCCAGGGCGGGCATGAGCTCGGGAGGGAGCATCTGCGGCAATTGGCATGTGGGGCACATGAATTCGGTGAGTCCTGGTCCGACGGTCAATACCATCTTGCAACCAGCACACAGAACTTGGCAACCCCCAACTCTTTCGTCGTTGGAAGCAGCGGCGGCAGCGGTGGGAGCAGGTGGTGGAAGAGCGATTGGGAGAGGCGGCACCGAAGGTTGTTCCATATTCTTATATATTCTTAATGAACAATTGAGTTAGACTTAGCTCCGCTGGATATTGCCTGCAATTCAGAGAAGCGACTGCTAGAGTTCATAATTTGTGAGGAGCCATTGCGATTTAGAGGGCGTTTGGTAAGAGGAAGAGAAACACCATTGCTGCTGGGGCGAATGCCCCCAATTTTAAGAAAGGTTTAAATACGGAGTATGTTTCTTTGTCCTCGGCAAAATAGCTACGTCGTATGTTACAAAAATAGGACTGGGAAGCCAATAGAACCGGGTCACGGGTTAACACGGTTCAACCAGGCGGGTCACCCCGGTCAACCCAAAAGCCAGATCAATTTTTATATAAAATTTTATAGAGAAAATTGTTGTAAGTAAGACTAAATCATATAAACTTTACAAGATTAGGACTTAGTTACGTTTTTTCCATCGGTAAGTCTTATTTAGTTCTGTTTTAGGAAACTTGATTTTTAGTTTCCATTTTTACCCTCCACTAAAGGCAACGTATCAAAGACGAGTGACTTGGGCAACGACTGATCTCATCCGCAACGACCTTTTCTTCTTCTTCTTTTGCTCTTCGTCAGTGTAATCAACCGAGCTCAAGATCATCATCCTTTTATTCATTCGTGCTCACTTCTCCAGTTTCGATCATGCTCGTATGGTCCACGAATTGTTCTGAAGCGCCATTCAGTTGTTCATCGAGCTTCATACGCTGTGCGAAATTTCTGCACTTTTTGGTAAGTTTTATTACTCATTTTTCTTACAAATTTGTTATGGTTTGATGTTTTCCTGTATAAACGAATTTCTTTTATATATTCTGTATCAGTTCTTTCATCTTCAAGTTTGAATTCTCATTCTAACATTGAAATTGGAGTTCAAAGTATTTCTCTTCTCTGTTTTTTAGTTTCCAACGTCGATTTCTGTTTTTCTACTTCATATAATTCTTTGATTGTCTTATGGTGAACTATGTACAGCCGGTTGTAGTCCAAGAAATTTCTGAAATGGAGGGTTCAACCTATGCAAATAAAGTGCTCGACAAAAGTCCTCAATCAGAAACCAGTGCAACCCCCCCAAAAAATGGGTAGGCCTGTTTCAAAACAACATGAATACTACTCAGGGTATGCAACAAGAGTATTTTCCACCCTTTGTGATGACGTTTTACTCCTAGAAGAAGAAGAAGATATAGCATTGTTGGTTCACACCGGGGGATACTGCCTTGTGGGATGTTTTACTGAAAAACTTCACAGGTCTTAAAGCTGTTAACAGTTTGGTACCATTGTGGGGAGTCGCTTGTACTTGCGGGAATCCGGCCTATCCTGATCTGTAGTTCTTAGTTTGATAATATTTTATGGATTCAGATTTTTTATTTCCTTGAATAACATTTATAAGACTTATTTTTGTTCTCTCTCGCCATTCTTAACTGCCACGGTTTGTTGGCATTGCAATTTATGTTAAGTGTCATCGCTTTTTGTATTTCAGTTAATGAATATCACTTTTAATTATGTGAATGATATTTTAAGTTAAGTCTGCTGCTCAATTTAAGCTTGGGGTGGTGGACAAAACACCTAGAAGCTGTGCATACATGTTCATGGTGTTGTGGTTGTGGGTCAACATTGAAGATTATCGTGTTATGATTACATCTCAAAGGTTTACTTTACACATGAGCGGGTTACTATTTACAGTGGGGTGGTGCACCTTATTGGTTCTCGCTTTGATTGAGACCTTCCGGATTATGTGCAGCCCGACTACAAGCCTCACATGCCCACCCACTAGGCCTAAAAGAAGCGCTCATCTTCAATTGGAGAATTTTCTCCCCGACAGCGAAAACAATGTTCATGGTGTCAAAATGCGGGCACAATAAGAAACCTTACAGGGATCCTATTCCAGCGCGTAGTTTTTAAACTCAAAATGTCATATCACTTTCATTTCATTACGTCGAATGAGAGTTGTGAGAATTGTAGTTTTTTCCCCGCACTTTTAAATTGACATGGTTTACTAGCAATGTAATTTTACATTATTTGTCATGATTTATTGGCATCCGAGATTATGTTATTTTATTATTCAAACTCAAGTTCATTGAATAATATGTAGTAGTTGTTTCAGAACTAGCAAACATCATCTTTGAAATTAATGTCTTTTTACTGTCTGCTTACTCACTGTATCTTTTGTACGTATTTACTGCCTACATCAAAATCCATTTAACATGCCTACTTTGCTCACACAGTGCTCTTCTTGCTTCTTACCTTATTCACAAGCCTACAACTAAAGTTTTCTGATGAATATGCATGTGTAGCACTTATTTGCACGAAATGTTTTGTGTTTCGGTGACCGCATTTAACAACAAGACATTCATATTTACTTCAAGTTTCTTGTATCTAAAATTTATTTCACCAATATATCAAACTTCATTGTTACTTTATAAGCTTTTACATATAGCTGTAACCGACTTGCGTACTTACTTTAGTTGTAGTCATTTAATGTCTACACTTGTTTTATTAATGACTACTTATGGACTTTATTCCATAATTATATCAGAGTTTATAGTGATCACATCATGAAATAAAAAGTAACAATGAACACTCATTTCTTTTGAAATGAAAAAGAGGATATAATACATTGTCATATTTCAAAATCAAATGTAACTAATGTGTGATCACACTACTTAATGACCAAAAGAAGAAAGTTTTACATAGACTTTTCTTTCCAATAATTTAACTGTTACATTGCATCTTAGACCACATACTATTTTGTATTACAGACCGTCTTCATCCACCTGCTTCCTTCGGTATGCATACATCAGTAGCTTTATTGCTTTTTTCGTGTACTTATCCAAGTCTTCTTTCAAAACTTCACTTACTCTTTTATCCAGCATTAGAAGCTCAACGAACTTTATGACAAATGTACTACAATTTCCCTGCAAATTCGTGTGTGTTTTAATATAAAATGTAGACATACATAACAAATAGGATTTGTGATTAAATTAATATTAAATATCAGCCCAACATGGCTACATAGCTTCCATCTTCTTTATCAATTTGATTTTGGGAAAATGGAAATTAATAATCCATCTTTTTAACAGCCTTCATTTGTTGGTCCCACTTTATCGTTATTCATGAATAATCCAACATTTGCACCTCATCTTCATTCGTTGGTCCCTGACCGGTTGATGACCTTCTATTCCAGGTTTTTTTCATTTTCTTTACAAATCATTCAACCATAAATCTCACTTTCACAAATCTTCTCCAAACGGTCCCACATATCATTTTTCTTTTTTTTTCTAAAACTTTTCCTTTTCCATTTTTAGTTTTATCGTCTTGACTCTTTTATTCTCCTTTTTGGTCTTCTTATTATTATTTTTAGTACTTTTCAAATTATTTTATTTTTTTCAATGTTTATGTATTCCATATTTCCTTTTTTTTCTCCTTCCCGTTTATTATTTCATTTTCATTTTTATACGTAGTATATTTTTTCGGATTAGTTTCCTTATAAAAGATCTTTTTCTCAGCGTACTAACTTTTTACTTTATTTTCTTTTTACTTACAGTTATATTCCTTTTTCCCTTTCTTACCTTTATTCTATTACTAATATATTTTTGAGAAAAAAGCCCCAAAATAGGAATAACTAATTCCTAAATGCACAAATAGGACTATGTTATTTATCTTCCCAAAATAGGAATAAAATATTGTTTATCTTCTTATTCTACATATCTACTTTTACCATAACTTAATAGGATAATCATATTTTACATTATACTCCTATTCAGATAAGTAAAGGTAAGAAAAGGAAAAAGGAAATAAATAAGTGTAAATAAAAAGAAAATAAAGTAAAAAGTTAGTACGGTGAGAAAAAGATCTTTTATAAGGGAAGTAATCCAAAAATATATATATATAAATGAAAAAGAAATACTAAACGGGAAGAAGAAAAAGAAGGAAAAATAGAATACATAAAAATTGAAATAAATAAAAAAAATCAAAAGTAATAAAAAAAATAAGAAGACAAAAGGGGGAATAAAAGAGTCAAGACGATAAAAATAAAAAAGGAAAAGTTTTAGGAATAAAAAAGAAAAATGACATGTGGGACCGCTTGGTGAAGATTTATGAAAGGTGAGATTTATGGTTGAATGATTTGCAAAGAAAATGAAAAAACCTGAAATAACATGTCATCAACCGGTCAGGGACCAACGAATGAAGATGAGATGAAAAGGTTGGATTATTCATGAATAACGATAAAGTGGGACCAACGAATGAAGACCACTAAAAGGTTGGATTATTAATTTCCATTTTCCATTTGTTTTTTTCTATTGCTCTTGTGAAATCATGGTGCCTTGATATAAAATTCATCTTCTAGATCAGCCTTCTCTGCAACTACGTTTTATTAAGAAGAAGAAATTGATCACCAAGAATGCAATTAGAGCTCAAAAGTATAGAATTTTGAAAGAAAACCTGCAGCTCCAATTTTGAAGCTGAACTTTGACCAAAAATGTCAATCATCTTCATAATCCAATACCAATTCCCAGGAAAGTTATCCCTCAACATCCACATTTGTGTAGCTTCCAAAATCTCTTCTACTTTCATATTGAAGTGTGATCTCTGGGGTGACTTTTGAATGAATCGTCCTCCAGACGGAGCAGAGCAACGCCGACAGGCATGCTTATCGGCAAGTAGGGCGACTCAGGGTAGCACCTCCAAGCGACAAAGACACAAAACTGGCGGCGTTCGAGGGATTCCTATCAAGCTCCGAAGGACGCAGGATTGGCGGCGTTTGAGGAAATTCGCAGGCATACTCCGACGTTTTGCAAGCCAGGATCTGCGCGGAATTTTGCAGCGGCATGTTTCAGTAGGCATTTGCTATCTAATTAAAAATTAGAGGTTTATGATCAAAGTAGGCATGTTTTAGTCTTACGCTAATTGTTGGTCTTAGTTTTGGAAATTTACTATGATTAGGTCTTATTTGTAAAATTTTCCCAATTTTATATTAATAAACTTTTAATAATATATTTAAAATTTTAAAAATATTTATTCTTTGCTACGATAAAAAAATTATAATTAAATCAGCAACTTTGTTATATTAAAAAGGGAAAAGGTGCAAATAAGCCATCGAACTAATCAAAAAAGTGTAA